AATACTAAAACAATTGCGAAAAAAGGGTATAGTTAAACTAACATACCTATTCAATGCTGCAATCAGACTGAAATATGTTCCCAGCATCTGGAAATTCGCAGAAGTCATTATGATCAAAAAACAGGAAAACCGGCGAACTAGATCAAATCATACAGGCCAATATCGNAAATATTGTAGATATGATTAAGTAAAACAGCTAGAGTATTTTGATTATTGAACAAAATTCCAATCAGTTTCTAATTCATTGTTAACTAGAAATTGCCTAAACATCGTTTTTCCTTTAACAAAACCAAATACAAATACAAGGTTATTGTAGAAATTAATTGTTGAATTATTTAAACAAAACAAGATAATATATAAACCTATACGACATTTGTACGCATAATGAAATCCGCACCTCCGGAGGAAAAATAGCTAGAGAGTGTCAAAAGGAAGAGAAAAACAAAAGGCGAAACAAACAATAGAAAGACAGTAGTAAAGATGATGACAAGAAAAATTTAAAAGGATTAAATTGATTACTTTCGTCCCGCCTCATTTAATCTTATTATTGTTGTTGGATAATAATTTTGGAGAGGATTTACGGCGCTTTTCTTCAAACGAAAGAAATAGGGTGTTTTCCCCTACAGCTGTTAGAAACACGTTTCATCGTTCTTTGGGCTTTAAATCATCTAAATTTCCAGTTCTTTATATTCACTTAAAAAAAAAAAGATGTTTGTGGCTTTATTTTATATTATGTTTTGATAGGAGTGGCGCGATAAGAACATGTCCGATAGCTGGTATACAGGGTTGATAATTGAGACAGCAAAGAAAATTATTATAAACCTGTCCAAAAAGATTCAAAAGTTTAATTCAGAATCAAAAACTTCCTAATGAAAGAAGATCAGATACTCATAGATTTGAACAGGATATTTGCTATATTGATATAGTAAACTTTCAAACAAACCAAAAAAAATGGTAAAAGGAAAAAACCCTCAGTCAAGAAAACGCTTTTATGGTAGAATGATTAAGGACGAAAGGGGTATTTCAATGCTACAGGTTCTTCTCTTCCTGATGACAAAACACGATTTAGAATGATTCAACTCAAACTTGTTAACCGACCATTGATCTCACTACAAAATATTTCCGCAGTTGGATATAAACCAGTATTACGAAGCAATCAAGGAAGATAAACGAGCAGATCGTTAAAAAAAATAGCAGGAACAATAGTAGGCTTGGTATACCCCCTTGAAACACTCCCTTAATATGGGACCGACCGTGCTTCATTGCCAAATTTAATAATCGCCGTTCATCCTTAGAAATATGATCCACGACATGTCTTCTGATAACTACAGATCAAACTGATGATTGCGTAATGACGAAACCGGTTAAAAGTTTTGAAAAAATCCAGAAATCTTCCAATTGCATAATCACCCTCAGCCAAAGCAGAGTGCATATAGTTGGTAAAATCGGAAAGTGTGGACTTTATTTATTTAAAATTGATTATATTGCTTAAAAACTCTAAATTTCATCCTGAAATCCAAGCAATTGAGAAACTCAACTAAACTTAAACAGATGATACATAAACATAGCCAAAACTTTATGGCCAGACAGGCATTAAACTCAAGCATTATTAGCTCAGGAATATCAGATTTCATGGCTTCTAGGGCTGGCATGAACTGGATGTTTGAATTTAAGCAAAACTTTCAAACAAACCTAAGTACAAAAAAAGTAACAAAGTGAAAATCACTCATTCAACAAGGGCTTTATTTATTGATACGTTGATGGATCTAAGATCCAAGTTGCAGAATCAGGAGTGTTTAACCCTAAATTCCAAATATTCAGAGACAAGTGCACCAGTTTCTTCACTTTCTTAAAGTTCATTTACTTATTTTTTAACAAATCTTTTAAGTTGAAACCCATTTAATTGAAAACAATATTCCGTTTAAATAAAGAATAACAAAGCAAAGCATTAAACTCAAACACAGCTCAAGATTGGTGCTGAATTGCAAAACCAAACTAGGCAGATTAAGTGTGCTAAACAAGGATACATTTTCCTTCTACGGAAAAAGGCTGCGACACTTCTGAAAAATACTAAACTGTTTTGAGATTAATGCTATGAACAGCAACTTAGGAAAGAAGATTATTTAGAAATCGTGAAATGAGGTCTGGTGTGATGTAGGTTTCAGAAAAACTTTTTTTTTATCGTGCCAACGTTTTGATCTTTATTGAGATCATCTTCAGGGCTTGGAATTTACAAACATTGTTTAAATTTAACAAAAACATGTACGATATGAAAAAAGGAAGGAAAGAAGACAGTGATACTGAGGAAACCATGGAATTTGCTCATTTGACACAAACGATCCAAAAACCTTTTGGCCAGGTTTGGAAAACAAGAAACATAACAATGAATCAAATAAAGCAGGGCTTCGAATCTTAATAGGATTCTTAACTGAGATGTTCGGAAAAATTTGCATTAACCAACATGGCGCGAATTCTGTGAAGAATCATAAGAACTGTGTACATAAACTTTGGCACATTTACACACAAAAGTAACACATTGCAATGTACGACGTAACTTAAGAAGAAATACAACCAATAAAACTGTGCCTAATAACCAAATTCTGGTATGGATAAAATATCATGACTATCTCCGTCCATTTAATGATAGCGCAGACAAAAAATGGAAATATTATTAACATCAACAAAGAAAGCTAAAAAAAAAACCAAACGTGAAATTAACATAAATTGAGAATCATCGGTGGTGCTGTACAGATATAGAACTTTGGTGGACACAATACTTTTCAAAAAGTACATCAACAAAGAAAGCTAAAAAAAACCAAACGTGAAATTAACAAGAGCATCATAAATTAAGATAATCAGAAACTCATGCCTCCTAGGGGAGACATGAACAGTATTTTTAAATTTAAACAAAACTTCCAAACCAACCTAAGTATGAAAAAACACGTCAGTTGACACAGGCAAGATTTTTTGGTACGCTAATCTAAAACACAAGAAAGTACAATGGCAAGAAGCTCTAAAAGAAAATAAATATTAAGACTAGAAGTACAACAGTATTCATCAATATAAGATGAAATCCATGCAAATGAGAGATGTAATCAAATCAAATTAAAATAGACGATACAAAAACAAAGAAGTAACTAACCAGATAACAAGGCAAGCATCAGCTCTGTAAATTTGAAAGGAAATGCTTTGTGATTTTCGTCGTAACCTTAGAATAAACACACACTAAAACCGGGCCTAAAAATCAAATTCTAACATAAATTGAGATTCACCGGTGGAGAATAGGTATAGAACTTTGGTGGATACAACAGTTTTCAAAAAGTACAAAATATCAAATTATTCCGAATTTTTACAATTTACGACATTTGACATGAGTGGTTGACATGTTATATTATGATGATTATTGTTATTTTAACAATTACAATGTTTACTAATTATAATTTGGTTGATTATTTTATTGTAGAAAAGTCTGTAGTTTTATGTTAAGAAGGCTAATTTGGGAAGAAAGTTTTTTTATAGTGTAATATGTAAATGTCCAGTTGTAACAATGGCGTTAACCAATCATGCATGTAATTTAATTAATAATAATTATATATAATTTTTTTGTCTGTAATAAATTTCTATTCTTCCGAGATGCTTAAAGAGGAAAGGTTGATTAAAACTAAAAGTTGTAGATAAAATGAATGGGGTTGTTTAGTTGGGATATGCAAGAGAAAAATGTTTCAGGGCCTCCAGTGGAAGTGGGAGTTACTATGTATGTACTGAGCATCAGTTCACTATCTGAAGTGCAAATGGTACTCTCAAATAACTGAATCTTTCTCTATACCTCTCTATTTGAGTGTACCCGGGCATGTTACCCATCCTAGTAGCGCCCTCCTGGGGTCCATTGCTGAATTCTCTCTTTTTGTTTATTTTTGTTGTTTTAATTTATTTTTACAGTCTTATTTTCTGTTTAAAAAAGAGACAGTACTAAGACAAATGTCTTATTGTTGTCTTGGACAAAGACCGTATAGGTTTATTGTTCACAGGTCCTCCGGTAGAGGTGGGAGTCACCATGTATGTACTCAGTATATCATCACTCTCTGAAGTTAAAATGGTACCTACAGCCACGTTATATTATACAATAATATTTGATAAGTGAAATTTATAAAGTACACACGTAACACACTTTGGGATTACGGAGACCTGGCCCGAAAACACGTTACACCGCGCATGCTCTGAGACATTATGTAATAAATAAGCTTGTCACACAGTTTAAATCGTATGAAAATTTATTTTTTTTAAACTAGGGGTTCATTTCACTTGCACATGTGTACATGTCCGTGCCCTTGACTCTTGTGTCCGTCTCTTACTTTCTCTTTGTCTTTCACGGCTCTGTCCCTTTTAGTATCTATCTACTATCTTTGGGTGCGAATTCAGGAAATGGACCCCAAGTTAATGTCCCCTTTTAACGATCGAACTTTTTTATCTGTTTTTATGATCTCATTTTTTCCCTTTTTTCATCAATTCCCGTGCCCGAGGTAGATTTTTAAGCGTAGCTCATTCGTAATGGAATACAATGTAAAAGCAAAACGTGGCTATTTATTTGATTGTTTCATAGAATTTTTTTAAATACTTTTTTGGGACGGAGGAAGCATGGAGAGCTAGGTTTATATGAAAAGCGATTTAAATTATATTTATATAAAATATTCATTTAAATTAATTGAAATATGATGCTTGCTAACGTCGAACCTTGTAACTTAGCTACTCTGTAGGAGATTCAGTTGAACTAGTTCTGTATGTAAAAATTTTTAAACGAGTTTGGATGTCTTAGCAGCAAGATAGCAGATGAAAGCATTTTGGTTGTCTCTTTTTTCATTTAGATTTTAAGCTTTAACGCTCTAATATTTACAGGTGGAGGCTTATAAAACATAAATGGACAAATGATTTCCTAATGACTGTTTATACATTTTTTATTGGGTTGTGTGAATATTGTGTGTGTACAGTGGTGTTGGTTGCAGGTCCACCAGTGGAAGTCGGGGTCACAATGTACGTCCTCAGTATCAGTTCTGTATCAGAAGTCCTAATGGTACTTAAAACACCAAACCTTTAAAAAAAACTACAACCAAACCCAGTTGTTGTGTTGTCGGTGTTGTACCTCGACAAATGTACAAGGGATCCTCCTTCAGTCGGACTAGGACCATATTCATCTCATCATCACAATCATTAAACCATCCATTATGTCGAAATATTTTAACTAAAAGTTATAAACTAGTGCGTCTTAGATGGAGGATCCCTGGTCCTGAAATTAATAAGACTGATTGACATTTTTCCAGCTGGTTTGCCAATGTTTGTAAAGGAACCCTACAGCGTTCCAAAAGAACCTATGCATGGCCCCCTCCTCCCACCTTGTGACACGAACTAATATAAAAGTGCCCTTGACACAGCATTTGAATAAATCGATGTTATCAAAAATTTAGTAAGAATGTAATATTGGTGTAAAATAATTATTTCTTTTGTATAAAATATAACTTTTCTTTAGTTAATCTTTTTGAAAAGTTTTATGTTACAATAAGTGTTTATTTTTTTGTGTAATATTCACATTTTTTTAAGCACTTTTTGTTTTTAAGTATAAATATTTAAAGTTAATTTGCACAATTTGTTTTTGGTTGAATTGCGTGAGTGAATTTTTATATTTTATGTCCAACACATCTGAAATTTTAAAACTTAAAATAGTCACAGGTTGGGAGGCGGAAAAAACGAAACCTGGCCGAATCAACTCAGTCAATGTGTAATACAGACATTGTACATTTTGTAGTCGTTGTTGTCTCTATTCTTCTCTTCTCCGACTGTTGAGCGTGTACATTCAGTTCTCCCGACTCACTGGAACACCTTTCCTACATTTCAGTTATCATTTTTTGAAATATATTTTTGTTTATTTGTTTTGTATGGAATGTTGATGTATAAGACAAATTCACCTTTTAAACAAGAAAAAATTGAAATAAAACAACAAAAAGTAAAAGTAAAAAAAAAGATTTATTCGTTCCGCGCGGTGAACTGGGTGGACTCTACAGGCCGCAACCAGGTTAATGGCCCTGTCCAACAAATCAAATATAACAAAAAAAGGAAAGGTCACTCTAGTACGTGATCCCTTGAAGGGGGCAAAAGAAAACCCGCTCCCTTCTATTTCTTATTTCTTCTATATTTTCCTCTTTCTCTTTTTCTTCTATCAGTTTTATTTCTGTCTTCACTATTTTTCTAGGACCCCGTTTTGCCGCGTTAAACCACGCAATATTTAAAAAAAATAATAATAAAAAAAATTGTCACGAACCTGGGGTGTACGACCAGTTAAGCCGACTCGGCGAAATACGAGTATAATTTCAGCTTTTGTTTATTTTTGTATGACCGCTCACGTAATGTGCAAGGCTTATTCTGCCGTAGAGGCTTGTTTGTAGATGCTTGTGCATGGTGCTCTCTGTTTTAATCCGCTTACTAGATTTAAGTGTGCTGGGGCTGGGCTCGATACGCCAAAAACCTGGTCGAGTGTTTTTAATTGCTCCTCCCTCTCACTTACAGGCCCAGGTGCTCTCAAGAACTGCTCCCGTGGGGCTGATTGACCGCCCCATCAATCAGGACGCATGTACTCTCTCTCTACTTTTCCATTCCCATTTCTCACTCGCCTCCAACCCTTGATTGCGTTGCAGCTTTGGGTGAAAATCAAACGTAACTACTTTCATTCCAATGAAACGGTCGGTAAAACGAATCTAAAAACATCATCACTTCAAAACGTTTCACACCAACAAATCATAATTATAATGAAGATAATTTAAAAAAAAACACTTTCATAACTCATCGCCATTTAAAATAATCTTTCTAGTACAATAAAAATATAAAAACAACACACCTTAACCCCCATCAAAAAGAAGAAAGGCAAAACAAAAACTTTTCATATAAAAGTATGAAAGAAACTACACAATATAAAATTAAGTGGGTAGTCCGCAAGTGGAATGAACTCCTGTCGAACAATTCTGGGTCCGTTTATTGTCGCTCGTTTATGCATGATTCATGCATCAATTAATGTGTATGAGTTTAAAGAAAGCTAGCGAGTTTAAGCGGACATGGAAAAATTTATCATAGTTGAAAAATTTTATTAGGGTATAATTAGTTGTTTAAAATCAGCCTGATAAACGTTGAAGGTAAAAAATGTGTCTGTCTGCATGATTAATTTTTAGAAAACTAATTTAAAAAAATACTAGTGTTACATGAACCGACAAAATAAATTATATTTTAATTACAATGAATTAGATTTTTAAAGAATAGTTTGAATATATGTTTAGAGGTCATAATTGACCATATTAATTATGTCAATTATTTATTCCTTTTATCTAAGGTCTTCATTGAGATGAAAAAGTTAGTGTCTCGAGCGGGATTCGAACCCACGAACTTCGGCTCAACAGGTTGTTGCGAAGTGACGATAGCTAAGTGGGTAGAGCAACGGCGTATTGAGCCGAAGGTCGTGGGTTCGAATCCCGCTCGTGGCACTAATTTTTTTGTCTCAGTTAATATCTTAGATAAATAGAATAATTGTTCCAATTAATCTTAAAAGCATACTTGCTCAGTTTGCTGGACAGGGATTATGATTTTAAAACTGGGATTCGTATTTTATTGAAATTCGCAGGACTTTATTATAAAATATTTCGCGTTGTAAAATAAGTCCGTATTCACTTCAATAATGCAAAACCAAATAGTAAAGTGAAAAATACGCATAATTTAACGATGGCCCAATTTAACAATTTCATCTGGTCCTAAAGTCATTTCGTGTCGTTTATTTAGAAAATACTAGATTGTCCAAAAAATGATAGAATATTTGAGTGGTTTTAAAAATTGAGCTCCTATTGTGAATTATTATAAATCTACTTAGAAATATGCTATGAATTGGTCAAGGAATTCAATTGTTAAGTTTATTATTTGAGCGTTTATTACTCTATTTATAATTATTTTTGTTATTCTGTTTTGTATAATTAAATTTTAAAATATAATGTTTATATGTTATGTTTACAATTTACTTTTTAGTAGGGTGGTAGAACAATAAAGGCAATATTATTATTATTATTATTATAGCTTCAACGCACAAAAGAGATATAATAGAATTATTGACAACAGCTACGGATTTATTTTACAAGCCAAGTTTAAGAAAAGACATAAAACTGTTATACTGGCTGAAGAGGGACTGTACTCGTTAAAGTTTTCCCAACTAAACGAGAAATAAAGAAAGTAAATAAATAGACTGTGAAATTCAATAAATCACAAATCCCCATTAAAAACATTAACAATACATAGATTTAATGTATTTATACATAATGTAACAAAAGCCCAAAAATAACGTGGCATATAATTTTTGTTCTTATTTTGAAAGTGTTGACCCTCATTGGCACAAAGGTTATCTCCCAAGTAGTGGGTAGTGCTAAGGCGAAAAATACCATACACACCAAGCTCACAATCCCAAAATCTCAATGTATTGTAGGAATCTGGAGACACAATTCAAATTAATAAATCAGGCCTAACGAATTTCTCTTTTTTATGAAACATTTTTAACTGAAAAACCTTCAATTTTGAAGAGGAAGTCGGTAAGACCAAACAAACCACATTTTACCAGGTCATAAATGATAAGCTGTTAGATGTAAAAAGGTTAAACAACCGTGGTGAATATATAATACATTAATCTATTTTTTATTGAAATTATCATACGAAGAATATTGAAGAATATTTCTGACATTGTTAATATAAATGACGGACAAAATGTAGGTTTTTCAAATATATTATATTTAGTGGACTATTGACCAAATTCCTTCTTTCAATTGATTAATCTTTTTATGTAAAGTTTGGGTTCAAATGAAAAAATTAGTGTCACGAGCGATTTGGCCGAAGATCGTGAGTTCGAATCCCGCTGGTGTCACTAGCTTTTTCATTTCAACCAAAACCTTACATAAACTAGTTTCTAAAATATGTGAACGTTCATTATGAAACATACTGACAAGAAATGCGGAGTAAATTTTCCTAATTTTGGAGTGTGCAATAATGTATAATATTATTTATATTGGTTATATAGAAATAGAAATTAAATTTTTTTCTCAACCAAGACCATAAAAAGAATAATTAAATGAAAGAAGTAACTTGGTCAATTGACCACTAAATCGTAAATAGAAATTTAACTTTAAGCTATCTTGAAAAACCTTAGTTTATTAAAAATTAAACTCATTGTGATTAAATTAAACCTGTTTATAAAAAAAAGGACAATCTTTCTTGGTTATGTACAAAAAGTTAATATTTGGGTTTCAAATTAATAACATTCTTAAGTAAAATGCTAAAAATTTATACTTTTTAAGTTAAATATAAATATTATTTTGCATTACAAATATTTTGTTTTTTCTTGACTTGAAATTTTCCTTCAAAATAATGAACCAGAAATTTTGTTTTGCACTTTTAGTGCTGTTTGTTAGGTTTTGTTTTTGCTGTTTTAAAAAAGGTAGCTATCGGAAAGTGCAAGCGAAAAATTAATAATATTTTCCCCCAAGTGAAATGAATATGATGGAAATTCATCATCTTTCGATTTCCACGTGAAAACTCTTAATATTCATATCATTCATCCTGGAATATTTTTTTTATGTTTTTTTCTTACTTAGGCCGGCTCAATCACAATCACGATTACATAATTTGTCCGGAAGGGTAATTGGTTTTACTTACCACTAAACTTTATCAACCCCCATGTCGTTGTTATACAACAATTAACTTAATAGCTTCTAATTGGTTTATTTTTCATTTGAAATTATCGATAAGCTTATTATCTTATGTAAATCGAGCTCGGGAGGGAGTTGTAGAAACAAAACGACGATCAATTCTACCACCATTAAATTCACTAGTTTTCGTGGTCCGCTTGAACAATTAATATCTTTCAATTAATAATGGTTTTTTTTTTGGTTGAGATAAAAAGGTCAGTGTCACGAGCGGGATTCGAACCCACGACCTTAGGCTAGATACGCCGCTACTCTACCACTTGAGCTATCGTGACTTCGATCTCAACTTTAAAAA